AGGACTCGATCCGATGACACTCGGGCATTTCGTTCAAGCTCTCGTGCAGTGAGAAGGCCGCCTTGAGGTCTTCGCTTTGGTTGCATGGACCGCACTTCGTGTTGGATCCCTTGATAGCCCATGTCCACCAGTATGCTCCACGAGTCTGGATACTCCTCAGCACCTTCGTCGTGATCAACTTCTTCCATCTCAGACGCTGACTTGCGAAGCATGTCTTTATGGACATGCCGGCGATGCATGAACATTGTCACATCCGCAACAGATCCAGGACTGTGTTCGGACATATCAACAGCCACACCTGGGTATGCTACGGAGTACTCGAGCTTGAGGCCATACAACTTGTGTTTACCTGAAAAGTAGTGCTTGGCCTCGTCAAATCGGCCCGTCGGACGGTATGATGGCTGGAACTTCACATCGGTGCAGTACAAAGCGGAGGGAAAGTTGTTGAACGTATGTCCGTGTTGAACTTGATGTGTCATGCTGATCGGCTTTACGAAGTGCTCGTACAGAATGGGTTCTACGGTGTCGAAGACGCGGTGGATCATTTTTTCAAAGGTTGGTGCCTTCATCTTGTAGTCGAGGGCGTGTTTGTCCCACGCGTTGCAATGCTTGAGGAGGGACATTGCCATGAAAAATGCATCCTTTGGTGACGTCATAGATTTTCGGCCGCGTCCCATTGTCCATGTCGTCACCATGGCTGACTCAACAATGGCCCAAATGGATTCAAACTCGGAAAGAGTAAAGTTTGTCATGGTCGACAGTGACGCATTGCCGCCTTGACTGAAGAAGCTGTCGATGACGGGCGTGGGGGAGTCATCGGCCTCCTCGACATGTTGGGAGTGAGCGTGGTAGACTTGGCTCATCTCATCCAATGCGTGAACGTCGTCGTCGACTTGTTGTTGGAGGCGTGACACGATAGCAAAGGAGTCCATGGGTTTCTTAAAGAAATTGATTCTGAGTTATCACTGCGCGCTAGGTATTTGGTGTAGAGTCGCAGCAGATATTCAATTATGTAGAATATTGTCATATAGGTTGTAAATGCGGAATAGCGTTGCCATATTGTATTTGAATCGGTTTATTCTTCAGTGACGCAGTCTTTGATCATTTGTTCAATCTCTTCGTCATTTACATGGTTAATACGATTTTAGCCAATCCTGTCACATTTACTTATTTTAATTCTATATATATATTGATGTACAGTATTATTGGCAATCACTGATCAAGAAATTTGTAAGTGAACAAGAGGTCTATTGATTGTCATAAAATTTCAGATATTATTTGGTGAATTATTGTATCACAAATGTCCGTTTCGTGACCGTTTCAAAGTCCGTTTTTCCCATCAACGGTGATCCGCGACGGATGGGGTGTACCCTGTGCACGATGGTGGGCGACCCCGCCGCGGGAGTGCCCTCAGCAACATTGCCGGAGCGACAGACCGATTTGGAGCGCGTGGAAGCTCAGGCGCGCGTGCAGTCGGGCGTCACGAGCGTGACGGAAGGTGTTGTGGAGCTCATGCTTCGCGGTCGTCGGCACGGCATCTTCAACGATGACACGGAGGACGGAACAACTGTTTTGGATGCTGGAGACGTGACCGTGGACGTTCCATCCACCCTATCCATGGAGGACAATCTGCTCATCGTGGAATCGTTGCGCGCCAACGAACTGTTTTCGTGTCTTGAGCCACCGCATTTGGAAGTCCTTGCAAAGCGCATGACTGTGCTTCGTGTCCACGGCGGGGACATTGTGTACACCCAAGGAGATATGGGGGACACGCTGTACATCATCAAGTCAGGTAGGTTGACATGACATCCTTCGTCCTCGGATCATCCTCATGTCCTTTCGCAGGCCACTTTGACGTGACCACCAACGACGACCGCATGCGCGCCCTCGTGGTCGGCAATTCCTTTGGAGAACTCGGTCTGCTATACAAGTGCATTCGCACGGAAACGGTTGGGTTGAGTGACGAAGGCGGCAACTACGGCGACTTGTTCTGCCTCAAAGTACGTACGTCATCACGAGTGTGATTACGTCATCCGTTCAAATGATAACGTGATCCCTCAAATGATAACGTCATCCTCATCCTAGGGCCGCACGTTTCGAGAAATCGTCGCCAAGGTGTCGGCGGGGTCGCTCAATATCTCCAAAGACGCGCTTCGTAAAGTTCCGCTGTACGTACGACTCTATGAATCTGTGATGATCATATAAATATATATATATAATGTTAAATATGATATATATACATTTGGTAGGTTGCAATCCCTCACGGAAAGTCAATTTGACACTGTCGCTGGCGCCGTCCGAGCGTTGCAGTTCCGAGAAGGTTGACTAGCGAAGGCACAAGTGTCATTTGAGAATGCGATTGATGGACTTGGTAGGAGATATCATTGTGCGCAAAGGCGAGCCTGGGAATGTGCTGTATATGATCCAAGCTGGCACGGTACCTCGCGGCCCATATCGGGATGCTGCTAGTTGTATGAAGTAGACTCGACTTTAGGTTGTGTGCACGGATATTGGGGCGCTGGACGACATTGAACTGCATGATGGCGAGTACTTTGGCGAGCGCGCGTTGATGAAGGATGAACCCCGCGCCGCGACCGTGTACGCCAAGACGGGCGTGCACGTGATGGCCCTGGACCGCGAAGTGTTTACGTCAGTGTTGGGTCCGCTGCAGGAACTCATCAAGTACGACTGTCCAATATGGACGACGACGACGATGAGATGATCGTGATGATTCGGTAGACACAACCTCATGATGCGATCGGTGCAAAGCATTCCTCTTTTGAAAGACCTGTCCGAGCTGCAAAAGCAGCAACTCATTGACCAGACGCCGTTGATCCCGTACACCGCCAACCAAACCATCTTGACCGAAGGCGCATTCGGCAACGACTTTTACATTGTCGTCAGTGGGCAGGTGAACGTGACCCAAGCAATCGACGACCGCGTCGTGCATCTGAACACCCTGTCGTCCGGCGATTACTTTGGCGAACAGGTAGGAACCGATTCCTTGATACCACTCAATGCGGATGCACAGGCGGCACTCCAAGAAGTGCCGGCGCGGCGCAATGCGTCCGTCACCGCTGCCACCGCCGTAGAATGCCTTGTGATCGACCATGCACTCTTTCAGTCCATCCGCAAGCCGATTCAAACCGCGCTCGAGTCCAACATCGACGCAAGGAATCAAATGAGCCAAGACAAGGTTGGCCTTTATCCGAATAAATTGGGTAGTTTATCCGGATTCTAACGTTGAAGTTAGATTTTCGCCGCGTCCATTTCGATTTCGACGCTCGAGCGCACCAAGGTCCTCGGCATTGGATCGTTCGGACTCGTGTACATCGCCAAGCATGTCCCGACAGGTCGCTTCGTGGCGGTGAAGGAGATGTACAAGGCGCGCTTGGAAACGTCCAAGCAGATGGGACATGTGTTGGCCGAGAAGGACCTCCTGAGCTCGTTCCATCACCCGTTCATCCTCAAGTACCTAGTCGCGTTGCAGGAAGAGCGAAAGGTGTACATCGTGACCGAGTCGCTCTTGGGCGGGGAGTTGTTTCAGCGCATTGTCAATCCTGCCGGCGTCCCCACCCCTCTACCCATGGACAGCGCGCGGTTTTACGCTGGATGTGTCGTCAAGGCACTGAAGTACCTCCACACACGGAACGTCGCGTATCGGGATTTGAAGCCCGAAAACATGTAAGTACATGACGAAAGGCGACGGGAAGATGGGAAGTGCGATGGACGGTTGTATGTAATGCTGCGAATGCACACATTGTAGCCTCTTGGACAGCCACGGGTACGCGAAGATTGTCGATTTTGGCTTTGCGAAGAAACTCACGCAAAAAACCTATACGTTGTGCGGCACCCCCGAGTATTTGGCGCCGGAAATCGTCATGGGGATCGGACATGGCTTTATGGTGGACAACTGGGCGCTTGGCATCTTGATCTACGAAATGGTACGCTGCCCTTGTCGATACAGTCCCCATCTAGACGACCCACAGAGAGCATGCTTCATGATGTACGTGCTGCGTTATGGTCATCATAGGTGGTGGGAGATTCGCCGTTTGCCGACATCAAGGACGACCACATGACGATTTGCAGGTCGATTTTGCGCGGCAAAGTCGAGTTCAGGAAGGACGCGGACCCCGAGTGGAGACGACTTGTGGAAGGTCTGTTGACGCGCGAACCAACGAAACGCATGAGTTGCTTGGCCGGCGCTGTGGAGTCGCATCCGTGGTTCAACGGGTTTGCATGGGATGACCTTCTCGCGCAGAAGATGCCGGCGCCATGGACGCCCAACGTTGTCGCGGGCGATGACGTGCGATGGTTCAGTCCCGTGGACACGGACGAGTTGACAGAGCTCAAGGAATGGGACTCTGTCAGTCCCGAGAAAGACTGGAGTGAGTTTTAGATCAAGGTCAATGCAGTAGTACACTGGCGAGTCATCACAATCGCACGGCTTGGTGCTGTATTGCATATCCAGACTCATGCATGCGGCGAGGGTTGGAAGGCCTTCTTTGCATGGAGGAGATCGGCTTGCCATGGGATCAGCGACATGAGGCGGTCGCAGTTTGTTGTGCTGTCGTCGTCCGCGTTGCCATGTCCACGGCAAAAATCAAAGCTTGGTCTGTGTGACTAATATTATTCCCGGCCGTTCCAACAATCCAACATACGTTTTATTCTTTGCGTGAAACGCTTTGATTTGTATTTTTCCATCGGGTGGTGAAAAACGTACCGTAGTTTCAAATCCGAGACGTTTAAACCTCTGTCGTGCCACCACCATGAAAGTACGTCCTCGCTACGCTGAACGCATTCGTTTTGTCGTCTCTTGTACTGCGTCATTGGTATTGTTTTGAAATCGATTCGAAACTGGAGCCCTCAGCAGAATAAATCGAATGCCTTTGGAAATTGGATTACGGAACCGCCTAAGCCAATCAAATCACGCCATAACGAATTTCTACCAATCCCAACATTTGATTCGACCCAGCACATATATACTAATCGTTGTATGGTATAGTGTGTACAAGATGAAATAGCATTTAATAGATTCGACCAAATTTTGGTGAAATGCACAATGTCTGTATATGCTTTTAGACGGGCTTGGCAAAGAACGCACCCAATACCCATGAATAAAACCTAGTGCGTTTTAGTTAAAACGCCTTCGCCTTTGTTTCGAACGGCCGCGTCGACGGCGCCGCATGTTACACCAGTGTGAGTAAAATGGACAACACGCCATATCGAGCTGCAGCAACACCTTACCCATCGGAAATGAAGACGCGCAGGACCGGCATGCGTCCGAACCGAGCCATGTCGTCCAGCGACTCGGACGACGACTCGGATGACGAGGAGATAGGGAAGCATCGACACACACAAGGCCATCCAAGCTCCCTCGCTCCTCGAGGCACCATTCCCGACAATCCGTTGGTGCGTCCGTCATCATCACGCCATCCGCGTGCGCCTCCGTCAAAGACTCGACGGTCTCTCTACTTTCAAATCGTCATGGCGCTTGCGGCGATCGGATGCTTCATACTGGGTGTGTTCGTCAAATATCGCAACCTCAGCTCCGGCATCATTTGGGGCTCGGTCCTATCGGCGTTGTCCGTCGTGACGGTGCTGCTGTCGTACGCAAGCGATCCGCTCAGTCGACAGCATCCAAACCCGTTGGTATTCTGGCGCACGATCGCCGACGGGTTCTTTGTCGTACGACTGCTCTCGGAACAATTCGTACGTGGCCCATGTCGTCTCCATGACCCCTTTCCCCTCCTCATCCTGCTCGTGTGTATATGTAGGTGCGATGCATGAAGTACCAATGCTCTCCGCTGTGCGCGACATTCAACTGTGGATGCGCGTACACGAGCGACGCCATCATGGGTCTCCTGCCCGCCGGCAAGGACACATGCATCTTCTTTTCAGGCGCGTTTCAGTTTTCGTTGCTCGCGTCAGAATGCTGGTTCCTCTGCATGACGCTCAACCTGTTCTTGTCCTTGACCAACCCGTTCACCGACTTTAAGCGCAACACGCGCTTCTTCCATCTCTTCTCGTGGGGCGTGCCGCTTGCGAGCGCGATCCTGCTCATGAGCGTCAAAAACTTTGCCGGGTACTCGGACTTCGACACGTGCTGGACGAATGCGCTCCGGGTACCTCCTTCTCTTACCACTTCCTCTCCTTACATCTTCGTAGGGCGCGACCTTCCCGCGCCTAACCGACACGTGCGTCAACGAGAGCCGCACGTTCATCTTGAAGGACAAGACGGGGTCCCTGCAAGCCAACTACATCAGCTGGGGCTTCTTCTACGTCCCGATGCTCCTCTTCATCGTCGTGGGGCTCGTCGTGTGGGTCTGGACATACAACCGTCTCCGCGAAGGACTCCCCGAGACGTACGGCGTCCGCAAGCAGTCGATCGACCGCGCGCGCTTCCTCGTCGTCGCCGTGTCGACGTACTGGACCATTATCTTTGCCGTGTATGCGACGGTAACTGCCACTCTCACTTCATTACTCTTACTCACTCTCAACTTTACTCTTTGTATTCCCACCTGACTCTCACTTTCAAAACAACTCTACACTCCCTTGTCACTCTCCTTGCACTCTCCATATCCATCAGCATCATCACCAAATATTCATCAACCACATGATGATGCATGTGTGGGTGTGTACTCGTAGTCCTTGAGCCTTCCCGACGGCGACACAAAGCAGAGGTGGAAGGAAGTCGTGAACTTTCTCATGGCGTCCAAGGGATACGTGGACTTGGTGATCTGGTTCCACCTGAATGACTTCCGCGTGCCCAAACTCTCGGCGCTGTGCTCCAAGAGCGACCAGACCGTCGACATTGACTTGAACCCGCAAGTGAACGCCGCGTTGCGCCGAGAGGTGCTGTTCTACACCACATCTGGGATCATCCAGGCGGTGCAGCAGGCCGAGACACTGCCGGACCACGAGCACGTGCAGCATCTGGCGTTACGACCGCAGGGTGCCTCTTCCTCCCCAAACGACGACGACTCGTCGGCCAAGCACTACACGAAAACTTTCCACGACTACGAACCGCACGCGTTCCGGCGCATCCGTCAACGGTTCAACGTCGACAACATCCGGTACCTCAAGTCTCTGTCGTCGACGGCCAAGGAGCGGCTGTCCGAGGGCGCGAGCGGCGCGTTCATGTTCTTCTCTGGGGACGGGTCGTTGATTGTCAAGAGCACGTCCGCGGACGAATGCAAGTTTTTGCGCGAAATTGCCGACGCGTACGCCACGTACATGTGCCAGCACCCGTCGACGCTGCTCACGCGGTTCTACGGGTGTCACTGCCTCGAACTGTACGGCCAGCAGTTTTCATTTGTCGTGATGGCCAACTTGTTTGCAACGCCCCAGGTCATCCACACCCGATTTGACATCAAGGGATCATGGGTGAACCGAAAGGGCGGTCTGCCGAAGCGCGGGAAGAAGGTCACGTGCCGTCACTGCAACCGCAAGTACGTGTACCAGAGCACGGCCAAGGACGACTTCAACTGCGACGTGCGCCTCGGCGGCCACGAGCCCAATGTTGTGCTCAAGGACAGCGACTTGACCCAGAAGCTCAAGCTCGACACGGCCGTGGCCGTCGCGCTGTATCGGCAGCTCGAAGCCGACTCGGACGTGTTGTGTGGCTTGGGTATCATGGACTACTCGCTGCTATTGGGGGTCCATGATGTCGAGTTCAAGGTGGATGCTGCTGCTGCTGCCGAAGAAGAGGAAGCGATGTTGGCGATGTCGGCTAGGCCGAGACCGCGCGCCGGTAAGCGCGTGGCCAACACGGTCGTGGGGCCGGCGTACTACCACTTGGGTGTGATCGACATCTTGCAGACATGGACGTTGCAGAAACGCATGGAGCGCTTTTTCAAGATCAACCTCCGCCGCGTCGACGGCGACGGCCTGTCGGCGATTGCCCCCGACAAGTACAAGAAGCGCTTCCAGGCCAAGATGGCCGAGATTCTCAATGTTGGCCACTTGATTGGCACCGCGCCGCAACAGCGAGACCTGTACACGGCGGTACAGAGCTCCCAGATGGACGTTGAGGCGTCCGAAGTCAGCGGCGTCGTCACGGACGTGCATGGCGGGAGTGGGTACCTCGCGCATACAGGCGCCAACCCCCGCGGCGAAGGGTACACGTCCGGCCATATTCACTTGTAACGATAGGGATATGTATACACACCGAAATGTGTTCATGTGTGTGTGTGTGATGGAAATTTGGGACCTGTGCAATACAACAATGGTCGTCATGCAAAAGGTGCGTTGTTAAGGTCGAGGGATTAGAAAATCGCCAACTTGACTTCCATGATGTCGTGCACGCGGAACTGGGCTTCCGGGGCTTCTTGAGGGTCTACACAAGTGAGCACGGATTAGATCGATCGTTGCAATAGCGAGGAGGTGGGTGTGGACATGCGACGTACCGTTGAGGATGTCGGCAAAGTCAAGGGTCTCGTCGTTGCCGAGAAGGGTGTCCAGACCGCATCGGGAGCTAGGAAGTCCCGGGAGACGCGTGTGTTGCTCAAGCAGCACCTTCTCCGTGCGAAAACGCATGGCGGCCGCCTTGCCGTAGATCTGTTCGACCGAGTTCATCTTGCCTTCGAAGCCACGCAGACGACGATGGGTTTCAAGGCGTTGAACTTCATGCACCGGGCGGGTGTCTTCCGAGGCGCGCTGGAATCCCACTCGCATGAGGTCAGGCCCCGCGCGGAGCAGCGGCAGCGATGAAGCGTCCATGATGATCTTGATGATGTGGGGTGGGGAAAATATGGGGAGGTTCTGACAAGATATGGGCAAAAATATTATTTGCTAGAGGTTATTCCGAACCATAAACACCCGATATATATATCAACTACCCGGTATAAGTAATACACGTTAAATAAGTTAAACGTTAACAATCTTACTCTGGCTTGACGAATGTATTTCTCGCCTACGGAGTACTCGGAGCAACGTTTTCCAATGCATGCAGCATACTTTCATTGATACGATAAATTCTTTGGTATAACGTGAACATAGATTTGTAATGTTAGAACGAGTCGCCTTGTGTGCTCAATGGAATTATGAATTACCTATTTAACGCAACTACGCGACTCGTGTACAATCCTGCGGTATACATACACTCTCTAAGAGTATGTACACACTCACTGAGAGTGTAAACGGAAATAATAATAGCTTTAGTGGTTATTATACATAGATTAGTACAATCAGGGGTGAAAACAAATTAATTTCTGCCTAATACTCTCCTTCACACTCACACATCGTGGTGCCATTGACAAAAGTCTCTCTCGACTTTACCCGTGCGCACTACCTCTTCCGATCACACTCATGGGGCACTTGATATGCTGTGGACGACGTCCTCACTCGAATACTACCGTGCAATCGACGGGCCACGAAGCTGGCGACGCGAGCGAAGACGGCGTCGAGAGGTTCCGCCGGTTCTGGGACGACAAACTCAAGGATGTAGCCGACATGTTGTCGTTGGGACGGGCACCCGACGACGACGAGATGTCGCGCAACCCATTCCACGTCACGTTGCAGCTGTACGCGCACAAAGACGTAGTGGACCAGTTGTACTTGTGCTACGACGAACACCCGGACGAAGTCCGTTCGATCCACCTTCCTTCGCGCAACTATCTCTCTCTCCCTGTGTCTTACATGTGACATGTGGTAGGTGGAGTTTTACATTCCCCAGCTCTGCACGTTCCTCCTCCATGGCCAGTACGACAAGAACCCCGCGCTCGAGTTCTTTCTCTTGTCCCAGTGTCGGCGGTCGCTCCAGTTTGCCCATCGCTTGCATTGGTTCCTCGAGTCGTTTTGCGGCACAACGTACCGGTCGGAAGGCCTTAGGTACGCTTCCTGCCATCTTCCATCTTCCTACACGCATCCCACACCTTCATGGAGAAACCCCCTAAGACTCCCGTGCCATTAGCGCCACGGTCCATGCCCATCATGCAGCCGAAGGCGGACACTTGCTTCAAGAGATCGCGCGGCAGGGCGGTGTGCCCGCCAAGCTCTTCAGCATGGGACTTACGGAGTCGGAATGCGCCGCGTCCAAGGAACTCATGGCGACACGGCTCATGGCGCTGCAGGTGGCCGAGGCGCACATGGACAGCCCCGAACATTTGGAATTGGTACGTTGCTGCCGTAGTTGCTCCCACACAAATAATATATATATATATATATGTCGTCGTATATAATATTTTATATTCCTTGTAGTTTCAAGCAACACCGGCATTCGTTCGGTCGCTGACAGACTTGGCGGACCGGCTCATCCCGTTACCCCTCGCCGAGCGCAAACTCCACCTCCATCACGGCTTGGCCGAGGTAATAATAATATACACTCTGATTTATATATATATATATACCCTTGCACATATATATATCCTCCAAATATGATATCTGTATTTATACATATAGATCCTCCACATACGGTGTATATAATATATATATACATAATCGTACAGTACATATAATGGAGGATCATATATAATATATATATATTTGTAGAAGTACCCTCCTCTTGACATATGTACATATCCTTCCATGTACTCATCTATTCAAATCTGGAGTCTAACGATACATATATATATATAGTGTATAATCTATACACTCTATCGATATATTTAATATATATATATATATAGATTGAAGCGATGTATTTTCCATCTGCGAGTACCATCTACTTGCCGGTCGGAGACTCGATGCACCGCGTGAAGCGCGTCGTAATCGACGAGAGTTTTCCCTTCTCCACCAAAGAGCGCGTGCCGTACTTGATCTGCGTCGAAGTGGTCGACCAAATCATCCGACGACCATCATTCTCTTCTTCTTCCAAGTCGTACACAATGAAGCTGCCATTCGTCAACCACCGCGTGACCGTGGCCATCTCCGACGACGAAGCAAATGGGCGGATGACTGGCGGCCAGGATGACCTCAACTTACAAGCAGCCACAACCAGTGGTGGTGGTGAAAACACCCCCGATGGACGACCCAGTAGTACTACTACTCAAGACAACACGAATAAGACGTTTGTGGTCGAGGCGCGCAAAAAGAGCTTTACGCTCAGTTTTAGGTACGTTTTAGTCGAGTGTTGGTACGTTTTAGTGGAGTGTTGGTACGTTTTAGTGGAGTGTTGGTACGTTTTAGTGGAGTGTTGGTACGTTTTAGTGGAGTG